CCCCATCCACCCTCCTTCTCTCCCTCCCTCCCCACTCTCCCTCCCTCTCTTCCTCCCTCCCCCTACCCCCCCCCAAACCATATTCATCCCACAGACGCCAAATTGATCCCGAGGATTTGCCCCCAAAAGACCGGGATGGAGAACGATAGCAGGACGAAGGAGGGGGGGGGGGGGGAGAGGAAGGGGTAAGGAGAAAGGGGAAGGGGGGAGGAGGAACGGGGGGAGGAGGAACGGGGGAAGGAGGAAGGGGGAAGGAAATCGTTGAAAGGAGAAGGCCGCGTCTTCGCCTTCTTCCCCTTCGCCTTCGCCTTCGCCTTCCCCCCTCCCCCTCCCCCCCCACCCATCCACCCTATCCCCTCACCTTCATGGGGAAAAAGGGTTGCATTCATCACGGATCTCGGCCTCCTCTCGCTCCTTTGCTTGCTTGCTCTTTTTCTATCTATCTATCTATCTATCTATCTATCTATCTACCTGTCTATCTATTTATCTACCTGTCTATCTATCGACCTATCTATCTTTGTACCTATCTGTCTGTTTATCTATCTATCTATTTATTTACCTATCTATCTATCTATCTATCTGTCTGTCTACCTATCAATCTAACGATCAATCTATCTATGTATCTATATGTCTGTCTATCTATCTACCTGTCTATCTATCTATCTGTCTATCTACCAATCTATCTATCTACCTATCTATCTATTTATCCATCGACCTACCTAGCTAGTTACTTATCCCTCTATCTATCTATCTATCTATCTGACTGTCTATCTCCCTACCTCTCTATCACTTTCTCTCTATCTCTTCTTCTCCCTCCTTCTTCCTTTGACTCTTTCATTCCCACTCTTCACCCCACACCCCCTCCCCACACCCACACCCTCTCTCTCTCTTCTTCTCTAAAAAAAAATCCTAAGTAATGACAAATAAAACTAGCAAACAAATAAACATAAACAAATATAAAACTGCACCAAGGATAAAAAACAAAGAATAAAAAAAGAGAAAAAAACTTTTTTTCTGTGTACTTTACCGAGCTTTAAATTAGGAAGCCGAGACAGACACAAAAGGGCTTTATATCCGGTACGAATAAGGTCTAAAATAAATCGGGTTTGCGGGGGGAAGGGGGGGGGGGTTGTGTGTGTGTGTGTCCATGTATGAATATATATGTGTACGTATGTGTATGTACAAGTGTATATGAATATATAGGCCTATATGAATATGTACATGTATATATGTGCTTATGTATATATGTATACATATATATATATATATATATATATATATATATATATATATATATATATATATATATATATATATATACAATAACAAATACATATAAATATGAATATATATATATTCTAGATTGATGACAAATAATAGCAATCATAAAAAATAAAACAATAAAAACACCTCCCACCCTCTGCCCACACTTATTTCAACCCCAATCCCCACCTCCACCCCTTCTCACTCCCCCCCCCCGGCCCTCTCCCAGAGTAGCGAGCGAACCGCGGTTCACCCGAGACGCTTCCCGCTCCTTTAAGAACTTCTGCGGGTGGGGGGAGGGGGAGGGGGGAGGAGGGAGGAGGGGGAGAGGGTAAAGGGTTGTGGTTCCTGAGGTGGGGGGGAGTGGGGGGGGAGGTGGGTCCTGGGGCGGGGGAGGGGGAGGATAAGGTGGGTCCTGGGGCAGGGGAGGGGGAGGGGGAGGGGGGAGTGGGGGAGAGCCTCTTTAAGGTTCAACGAACACAACTTTCAAGGTTCTTCGGTTCGTCACGTCAAGGGACTACCTTCTTTAAGGAACTTTTGTCGGTTTCTCGGCCTCTCTCTCTGTCTGTTTCTCTTTCTCTCTCTCTCTCTCTCTCTCTCTCTCTCTCTCTCTCTCTCTCTCTCTCTCTCTCTCTCTCTCTCTCTCTCTCTCTCTCTCTCTTTCTCTTCCACTCCCTCTCTCTCTCTCCTTCTCCTCTCCCTCTCTCTCTCTCTCCTTCTCCTCTCCCTCTCTCTCTCTCCTTCTCCTCTCCCTCTCTCTCTCTCTCCTTCTCCTCTCCCTCTCTCTCTCTCCTTCTCCTCTCCCTCTCTCTCTCTCTCTCTCTCCTCCTCTCCCTCTCTCTCTCTCTCTCTCCTCCTCTCCCTCTCTCTCTCTCTCTCTCCTCCTCTCCCTCTCTCTCTCTCTCTCTCCTTCTCTCCCTCTCCCTCTCTCTCCTTCTCCTTCTCTTCTCCTCTCCCTCTCCCTCTCCCTCTCTTTCTTTCTTTCTTTCTTTCTCTCTCTCCCTATTTATCTATCTCTTTCCCCTTTGCTCATTTTTATCTATTTTTTTTTCGTCTCTGCAGTTATTTCTGTATATCTCTTCTTACTAACTTCGCTATTATCTACCCTTCCCCCCCCATTTGCCAATTATCACCAATTGTACCTGGCACTATCTTCTACAACCCTAATCCTTAATGACGCCATCCTCATTATCAGTATTCTTATCATTAACATATTCTCATCAATATTATCACCATCATTACCTTTATCACCCTTATCATCATTATCACCATCATCATCATCCTCACCATCATCATCATCACTATCACCATCACCATTATCATCACTATCACCACCACCATTATCATCACTATCACCACCACCATCATCATCACTATCACCATCACCATTATCATCACTATCACCACCACCATTATCATCACTATCACCACCACCACCATCATCACTATCACCATCACCATTATCATCACTATCACCACCACCATCATCATCACTATCACCTTCACCATCATTATCATCATCATCACTATCACCACCATCATCACCATCACCATTATCCTCATCACTATCACAACCATCATCACCATCATCATCACTATCACCACCATCACCATCGTCATCATCACCATCATCATTTCCCTTCAACCTCCGAGCTAAGATTCACCTCAAAGAACAACAGGATTTTCCAACAAAAAAGATACAGCTTTAAGATAAGTGGGAAAAAAAAGAAAGAATAAAAGTTACTATTATTTTAGTCTTCGCTGTTATTATGATTCTTTGCTCCTATTATCGCGTTTTTGTTTTGTGTTTTGCATCGCCTTTGTCAAGCCTTGGTCTGTTTGTTTGTTTGTTTGTTTCTTTCTTTCTTTCTCTATCTCCTCTCCACTTGTTCCTCCCGCATTTTTTTCCCTCCCTCCCTCCCTCTCCCTTCCACCTCCCTCCCTCCCCTGTTCCCCTCCTCCTTCCTTCGCCTCTCCCTTCTTTCCTCTCCCCTCCCCCTCTCCCTCCTTTCCTCCTCCCTTCCACCCTTCCTCTCTCTCCCTCTCCTTCCCCCTCCCCCCTTCTTCCCCCCTTCCTCTCCCCCCCCTCCCCCTTCCTCTCCCTCCCCCTCTCTCTCCACCCTTCCTCTCCCTCTCCCTCTCCCTCTCCCCCTCCCTCTTCCCCCCTTCCTCCCCTCCCCCTCCCCCTCCTCCCCCCTTCCTCTCCCTCCCCCTCCCCCCTTCCTCTCCCTCCCCCTCTCTCTCCACCCTTCCTCTCCCTCTCCCTCTTCCTCTCCTCCCCCTCCCCCTCCCCCTCCCCCTCCTCCTCCTCCTCCTCCACCTTCACCTCCACAACAACAAGGGGGTAATTGGCTTTCCTCCGCCAGGTAAACAGGACGGCGAAATGAGCGATCGATACAGGAGATCATGGCCGGTGTGGGCTGAGTGCATTGAGGGGGGAGGGGGGGAGGGAGACAGGGAGAGGGAGAGGGACGGAGACAAGGAGAGGAGAGAGAGAGGGAGGGGGGAGAGAGGGAGGGAGGGAGGGAGGGTGGGAGACAGGGAGAGTGGGGGGGAGAGAGAGAGAGAGAGAGAGAGAGAGAGAGAGAGAGAGAGAGAGAGAGAGAGAGAGAGAGAGAGAGAGTTAGAGAGAGTTAGAGAGAGAGAGAGAGAGAGAGAGAGAGAGAGAGAGAGAGAGAGAGAGAGAGAGAGAGAGAGAGAGAGAGAGAGAGAGAGAGAGAGGGAGAAAGAGAGAGAGAGAGAGAGAGAGAGAGAGAGAGAGAGAGAGAGAGAGAGAGAGAGAGAGAGAGAGAGAGAGAGAGAGAGAGAGAGAGAGAGAGAGAGAGAGTTAGAGAGAGAGAGAGAGTTAGAGAGAGAGAGAGATTAAAAAGAGAGAGAGAGAGAGAGTTAGAGAGATAAAGAGAGAGTTAGAGAAAGTTTGAAAGAGAGTTAGAAAAAAAATGAGAAAGAAAGAGAAAGACAAAGAGGAGGACACACAAACAAGAAGAAACAAAGAGAGAGAAACAGACGAAGAAAGCGAGAGAGAAAGACAACAACCGTGACCTGCCCCAACGACCAACCCCTAAAATCCGGCAAAACGCAATTCCTCGCTTTTCCGGCACCATAGCTTCGCGCGTCCGGACACTCGACCTTTCCCGTATCCGGCTCAACTTAGAGCTTAAAAATAATAACTAAACACGAAAATAAACAAATACAACAAATAAACACATAAGTATAACCAATCAATAAATACATAAATATAATAAATAAATACCTAAATGAATAAATATTATAAAAAAAAATAAAATGTTCCCACGGGATAAGAGGGAAAAGGGAGTAGATAGATAGGTCGATAGACAGAAAAGGGAAGAGATACGCGGATACGAGGATTAAGAGAAAATTAATAAGCAGGTAGAATGGTGAATAGACAGAGGGATAAAAGAAGGAGACAAGGAAACATGAAGCAGATAAAGCGAGGGAAGCGCAGGAAGAAGAGGAAAAGAAGGGGAAAGGGATGAAGCAGGAGGAAGAGGAGGAGGAGATGGAGGAAGAGGAGGAGGAAGAGGAGAAGGAAAAGGAGGAAAAGGAGGAGAAGGAGGAGGAGAAGGAGAAAGAGATGGAAAAGAAGAAGGAAGAGCGGGATGTGGAAAAGAAAAAAAAAGAAGAAGAGGAAAAGAAAAGAAGAACATTAAGAAAAAAGAAGATGAAGAAGAAGAACAAAATCACGAAGAAGATAAGAAATAACAATAACAACTCACCTTATCAAGACGTTGCCAGACACCGCTGCACACGAACACCGGGAAAT